TATATATATATATATATATATATATATATATATATATATATATATATATATATATATATATATATATATATATATATGCCTAGTGGAATTTGTTGAGTCGTTGCACTTATTTAATTATGTCTGGATATCCATTGAGCACTCTGCCAAATGTTTTTGTAAACAACGAAAGGGTGCAAATTTACATAATTTAATTCGTGTGTCTTTCAAGCCAACCCCAAAAAATAGGTACGCGCTGCGTACATGTGGGTAGCCTGCATTAATTGTTGTTAAAGTTTCCCGGGTGTAAATAGCCGGGGGGAATTATTACCCTCGCACGGCGCTTCGCGCCGTCGACTCGGGGACGATTATTCACCAAAGTGGAGGTGAATAATGCAAGAATATTCACCGAAACGCGAAGCGTTGAGGAGAATATCCCAGCTTGCACTATATTCACCGATGCTTAGGTTGCCTTAGCCAAAACAATAATAGAAATAGTTTTAAAGAATACCCCTGCACACTGGTAAACAAAAATTCGCAGCTTTCTTAATCGTGTTTGGCGAAACCACAGTTTCCTTTATAGTACAAAAATTGCTTGTCTGTAACAGGAACGAAACAGGAAGCCATTTTGTTTTTGTCCGTAGGTGAATAGTTTAATATATTTATATATCTAAGCTTACAACATTGACTAGACTTGTATATATATGAACACCCAACTGTAGACTAGTATACTAGACAAGTATATGAACAAATATATATATATATATATATATATATATATATATATATATATATATATATATATATATATATATACATCAAAAAAGTTTGTCCTTTGCAAACCTTAAACTCTAAACCTTAAACCTTAAACTCTAAGCACGCAAAGCATTTATTCATATTAATTGTATATAAGTATGTTCTGTAGTTAATTAAGCTAGGCTCTGAAAGCTCGGCCGAAAATTTAGTTTTTGTATTTAATATATTTGTTATTTGCCGTTCTGTTTGTTGCATATATATATATATATATATATATATATATATATATATATATATATATATATATATATATATATATATATATATATATATATATATATATATATACAGTATATATAATTAATTAAAGTTCTCCGGATTGAAATATAATTTTCGTGGATTCCCAAAGACCGTAAAACAAAAATAAAAGAGCATATAGCCTATCCATCCAATAAACATTTTTAATTTAAATTGTTACGGTTATCAAATAAGTTCAACAGGCGGTTTTTAGCTACTTCTCGACACTTCCCATAAAGTTTACTCATGCAAGTTTAAACGCAGCTATCTCGGTCAATATTGCATGAAAATGAACAGGGCGTATATCAAAATCTTAAAGAAGATCAAGTTGGTATCATTTGATGTCGTTTCCTTGTTTACAAAAATCCCAGTTGATCTTGCCATCAAGGTTGCGACAAAAAGACTAAGACAAGATGCCACTTTGTTACAAAGAACATCCTTGCCTGTAGAAGATATTATTGATCTTCTGTCTTTTTGTCTCAACACCACATACGTCACCACCACTATTTTAAGAACGTTGAGAAAAGAGTACAAACATGCATATGCATAAATATTGCTTACCAATCGGCCTTTGTATCTTTGAATTCTTTACTTGATGATATTTGAACTCGAATGTCCAAAATTGGAGCATTGCCCAGAACACTTGACCAGCGAGATGAGCCAAATGGATCCACTGGTTCATTAGTAGATGGGACATTCCATGTAACGGAAGAATTTTGATATCCAAATAGTATGAACCCCCCAGAATCTGTAGTCATGTCACACCACGCCTTAAATGTTTGGTAAAGAAATGATGATTACTCTCGATTAACTCGTATAGACATTGAACAATTTTTCAAACAAAATGCGCATTTTCTCTTATCATGAGCGTTGAGTGAAAGTAAATGCCTTGCACACGAGGTATTACTATTCATGATTGAATAAATAGCAAATCAAAGAACAAACCGATAGTGTATCTACCTCCAAATGAATTTTCATACCATGGCAGATGGGTTAGATTAAAATCAACATTTCTGTGGCGCAAATTATTGTGCAAATTTACAATTTAGATGTGTTAAAAGTGTTCCAAATTCTTAGTTTGGGAATGCACTGTAAAGAAAAATGATTAATAACCGTGACATTGCTATTAATGCATCCAAATTTTACCTTTCGTGGAGTTCTTTCACCTAAATGAATCCAGTAGAAACCATCTTTTGCATTCATATTATTATTTAGAATATCCGAGCAATCAAAACCAGGGGTGATGTATTCTCCGAGAGTCATTGAACCTAAGCACCACAGACGTAACAAAAAATAATTTAGGAAGTATGGAAGGAACAACAGTAATTTTGCCCTCTATATGATTAAGTCATGAAAATGCATGCAGATTCGAATTCATAGTATGGGTTTTACTATTTTTTTCCAGTGTTGGCAGCAAATATTAATAAGTATCACTCTTAAGTATTAGGTGATGTACTTATAAAAAGCGCTTTTATACAATTCATGTAAACAACGTTTTACTGACAAATTAGAGTAGGATATTGTCCTGATTTGGAAAGACGGCGAACCACGTTAATGACCTTAATTGTATAATTATGCATCGTTGAACATGCAGCCTGCGTGGTAGGCTCTTGAATATTGAACATGCGACAATAAATACAATTTGTTTGCGGTTTAATATGAAACCGCCTATAAATTTAAAACTCCTAAAAAGTTCGTGTGGAGAACTGTTATGAGAAATACGTGGAATTATAAACGTATTTCGGACAGGTCTAGGAGTAAGAGAATTGGTGACACATTTCAACCACGACAGACATGGAAAGATTGGAAAGCCATGAAAAGTGATACGGAGAAGCCAAATTCAAGTATGACAAATTCGGCAATGAATAGTGGTCTAAATCAAGAAGGAAACTATTCTTGATGCCAAATGCAAGTCCAACAAAATAAGACAAATTTTTTTCGAGTTGTGTTATTTTTGGCATCGCAACGTCTTGTTGGCCATTGTGATTTGTGAGTACTTTTAATATGGCAACCTGCAAGCCAGCTTTATTATATCCTTATTTGAATTATTAAAATGGAAAGCCTAATAACTCGGAAAAACCAACAAATTTTGTTTTGTTCCTGTAAAATTTCAGTAGTTGAATAATTTTTAATTTGTTTATAGGAGGTATATTTGAGTGAAATGTTTAGCTTCTTAGCATGCTCTAAGCATGTGGAAGGAGGACTGGCATGAGCGCGCCGCTTATCGGCAAAATTCAACGAGAGTAACTTTGCGCATTGTTCTATTTCCACTGTGTTTTTTTTTAATATGACATTTTTAACCAACTTTTTTACACGGTAAAAAGAAGGGGTAACTGGTCTATGATGGTAAGAATTATTTTTTTTAGTGGCCAATAAATTTTTACTATAAAAGAAATAATATGGATAATCACGTATAGTTTTTATTATTACTGTTATTAAGGTGGCTCCCTACAACTTTGAGTATTCACGTAACATTCGCTCCGGGGCCTACATTAGGGGGGGGGGGGGGGGGGGGGGTGTAAAAACTCATCCAACACTCGGAAATCACAAAAACTCGGTCCCAGTTTTGTTTGAAACTGTATCAAAAGTCGGCTCGAATTTCTACTATTAATTGTTTAATCCACAAGCCACAAATGCTGGTGTAGACAAGAGCATTTTTTCATCCAAAGTGTTCAACTCGGTGCCGGAAAGTGCAGGAAATGGCATTTCCGAGCCTCGATTTTGCAAATTTTCCCGCTTCATTATGCTACTCTGTTACAGTTCAAATATGGTTTGCGTGCCGTGTTTGCACTTGGATGAAAATCTTAACTATGGTTCCCAACTTAGATGGAACTGATTAGCCTCCGCAAATGGGCCCTGTTCCGCAGATACTGGTTGTAGAATACAAGAAAGTTGGTCCCAGATCATCCGACCTCTATATATATTTTTCTAATAAGTTGTTTTATGGTTCTATAGTTTTATTAGATTCAGGAGATAAAAAACTACATGCGAATTGAGTTGACTGACAGGACAAGTTTCTGTGGCAGTTCAGGAGTGCCTTGAAGACAGTATAAAATATCATTTCATGTCGCGACACTGCATGTTGTTGAAAATTGTGAGCATTATAAAATACAATAGACTACTGAACGTAGGATTCTAATAAAAAACTGGCGTTTTCTCGTTTGTTCAAAAACAACTTCCCGCGATTGTTTCAAAATTTTTACCGTGCCACGAAGATTCCACGCGCGACTCACGAGGATGACGTCTGATTTATATAAATGTTTTAATTTAACTGTACTATATTTACTGTAGGGAGCCGGCCACCTTAAGGTCAAGGAAGAGGATTCCATTAATTAATCAATCCATGTCTATATTAGTATACCATTGGACTGTAGCATCAAGTAATGCAATTAATATAGAGTGACGTATAAAGGCCGAAAACCAGATTGTGAATTGAATAGAAGGTTGTGCTTAGTTAAGTATATACTTTTGGTTGAATATTACTTCGATCCTCAAAAATTTTAGCAACAACAGATAAGTCAGATATTGGTCTATAGTTGTTGAGATTCATTTTGCAACCCTCTTTATCTACAGGAGTTACCCCTTGCAATTTTAATTTCAAATCATTTAGTATAGTGCTTTTACGAATAGCCAAGTTGGTAATATAAGTTAGCGACTCAGTTGTCGTTGGTACGCTTAATTTCAAAAGGAGAACTGTCGAATGGAATATTATCGAAGCCACTATCTTTACATTTAGAGTGTACGTTTCTCAACTATTTTAAAAAATTCAAGTATGACTGTCTCGCTCATTTCAAATTCGCTTGCAGAGTATGAGATATTGTCATAATTGACATTTTCAAGCTTGGATTAAATATTAGCTGCATCATCTTTAAAGACATGGGCGTACCGGGCAGGGGTGCGGGGGGCGGCGGCAGCCAGTCGGGCAACATTCGCTTCACAGTCTGGCAATATTGGCTTATTATAAAAATAAATGGGACAAATTCTGTCAATTTTGTGGGAAATCCGGTCAATTTTGTGGGAA